CCAAACTGGCTCTCCTACACCAAACTGGCTCTCCTACACCAAACTGGCTCTCCTACACCAAACTGTCCATGAAAGGCCTCTGAGTGGACTCCCATCCAGATCCAACCAGCTTCAGTGATGGAACCCCGTTGAGTGGTTTCAAATCATTCTCTGGCTTATTAAGGGCATGCCATCGATCCTTTTGCCATCCTTCCGAACTCAGCCAATATGGCATGTCTTGGATCCTCAAACCAGGACTAAACAGCTCCCGAGTCACTGGAGATAATACCTGGCGAGCGGAGAGATGGTGAGGCAAGTGACTCTGCTTTGGAAACCATCCTTTCGTAATGTTGTACTGTAGGCAGGAACACGCCACCTGTGTCACCTCAACAGCAGGGGGGGGGAAATAGCCAAGAAGTAGCTCTCTTTTCCATGCAGGTGGGCAGGTGAGGGAGGGAAAGGGACCTGTCACGAAAACGTCAGCCAGCCCCCCCAAACCAACTTCACTCCTCTGACCATCGCGATACCTGACAGCAGGCTTCATTCTCAAGATCCTCCCCTTCCGGTGACCCGCCTGATTCAGGAAGCGTGTGGGCCCGATAGGAAAGCTGCAAGTTCAGAGGATATAAGAGGAGGGAGGCCTTGCAATGGCACAAGGAGGTGTAGGCAGTCATCCGGGGTTCAGTTTCCAGCAGGAGGTATAATGCAGGAGTTCCATATGTACATATTGGCATTCAGGGCGTCAGGGCGGGGAAGAGAGAAATAGAGTCGGCAGGAAAAGGAGAAGGAGCTCATTCGGGGATGTAGGAGACCTGCCACACGATGATGTGGCTCCTCTCGGCCTTGGAGAGAATGGGCTTGACCTGGGCGGTGTCCCCTGCATTCTCCTCCGTCTCGTCATCCTCTCCGTCCCCTGCCAAGAGAACATGCATAGTGGATGAAGGGAAACGGACGCTGCACACCTGCAACGGCTTTATTGCATCACTAGGCAGGTGCGCCCCTGACTCAGCTGGGCGCAGACACACCTGCCCTGGTTTCTCCGGTTTCTCCCACCCTGCCTGCCCCCCCACAATACTCTGTTTGCCCCCTTTCCCCGCCTGCTGCAATGCTCTCTTCACCCACCCACCGTTCCACTTGGATTTGAACCCAGGCTCCCAGGTTGCACACCAGAGATAAGCGACAGGTGCCGACAGTGAAACGCCAAACCATTTGGTCGGTGCTGGCACCGAGGGTGAGGAGTCTTGGGGTGAGACGCTGGATGCCTCACTTTCTATGGAGGCCCAGGTCTCTGCTGTTGCCAGGCTGGCCTTTTATCATCTTAGGCTGGTCATGAAATTGGTTACCTTTGTTGTTGTTCGGTCGCACGGTCGGGTCCGACTCTCCGCGACCCCCATGGACTAGATCTCGCCAGGCCCTCCTGTTTTCCACCGTCCTCTAAAGTTTGCTCAATTTCATGTTCGTTGCATCTATGACACCATCTAACCATCTCATCCTTTGCCGTCCCCGTCTTCTTTGACCTCCAGTCTTTCCCAGCATCAGGGTCTTCTCCAGGGAGGGCTCCCTTCTCATTGGGTGGCCAAAGTCTTTGAGCTTCAGTTACCTTACCACCACCACCCCAAGTCACTTCCAGATTGGATTACTGTAACTTGCTCTATGTGGGGCTGCCCTTGACCCTGGTCTGGAAACTGCAGGAAGTGACGCGAGACACGCGTTCAACTGGTGCTCCACGAACTGCACAGGCTGCCGATAGAGTACCGGATACGGTTCAAGGTGATGGTTTTATCTTTTAAAGCCCATGGCCCGGGACCAGTGTTCCTTCTAAGCTGAGTTAGTGTGAGCTAGCTCACATTTTTTTAGCCCCCGGCTCACACATTTTTGTCTTCGCTCAGGGAGGATGGCTACAGAGCAAACTAATTGATGCGGCAGCCAAATCGCCTGCTCACAATTTTAATCCCAGTAGCTCACAAAGTTCCCTGACTGTTCCCTGGAAGGCCAGATAATGAAGCTGAAACTCAAATACTTTGGCCACCCAATGAGAAGGGAGCACTCCCTGGAGAAGACCCTGATGCTGGGAAAGATTGAAGGTCAAAGAAGACGGGGACGGCAAAGGATGAGATGGTTAGACAGTGTCATAGATGCAACGAACATGAAGTTGAGTCCAACTTCAGAGGACGGCGGAAGACCGGAAGGCCTGGCGAGATCTGGTCCATGGGGTCACGAAGAGTCGGACTCGACTGTGCGACTGAACAACAACAACAACAAAAGCTCACAAAGTAGAATTTCTGCTCACAAGACTCAGCAGCTTAGAGGGAACATTGCCAGGGATCTGCATCTCCTCATGACCACCTCTCCCCATATGTGCCCCATAGAGCCTTGTGCTCTGCAGAGCAACATCTTCTGGTGGTCCCCAGTCCAAAGGACGTCCGTTTGGCCTCAACCAGAGCCAGGGCTGTCTCAGCCTTGGCCCCAGCCTGGTGGAACACACTCCCATTTGAGATCAGGGCCCCAAGGGACCTGCTACAGTTCCTCAGGGCCTGTAAAACGGAGCTGTTCCACCAGGCCTTTGACTGAAGTGACAGACGTTCACGACATCTGGGCCTCCCCTGCGACATGGAGATAGGTTTAAACATCTAGAGACTCGACCGAATGAGTCTTCCACCGTAGCATTGTCTACAGGGCGATCATTCAATCATCTGACGCCCTAACCGAGACTGTTTTCAGACTGTTTTAATCCCACTGTATTATTCTAACCCTATTTATTGTATATTACAGTCACAACCAGTGTTCCCTCTAAGCTGAGCGAGCTAGCTCAGTTTTTTTAGCCTCCAGCTCACAGATTTTTGGTCTTCGTTCGGGAAGGGATGGCTCCAGAGCAAACTACTTTATGCAGCAGCCAAATCGCTCGCTCACAACTTTAATGTCAGTAGCTCACAAAGTGGAATTTTTGCTCACAAGACTCTACGGCTTAGAGGGAGCACTGGCAACATCTGCTGAGCTGACTTGTGTAACCTGCCCTGAGCCCATTTGCGGGGCGGGCAGGATATAAATAAATAAATAAATCAGTTTAGTTCCGAGGGCCAAATCTCCACCCCACCTACTGAGGCACCAGAAGAAGAGAGAAGAGAAGAGATTGGATTTATGCCCCGCCCTTCACTTGGAGTCTCAGAGCGGCTTACAATCTCCTTTCCCTCCCCCTCCCCACAACAGACACCCTGTGAGGTCGGTGGGGCTGAGAGAGCTCTCTCGAGGACTGCTCCTGAGAGAACACCTTGGTGATTGACAGAAGAAGAACAGGAGGAGGAGGAGATTGGATTTATACCCTGCCCTTCACTCAGAGTCTCAGAGCAGCTGACAATCTCCTTTCCCTTCTCCTCCCCACAACAGACACCCTGTGAAGTAGGTGGGGCTGAGAGAGCTCTCTCAAGGACTGCTCTTGAGAGAACACCTTGGTGATTGACAGAAGAAGAAGAACAGGAGGAGGAGGAGATTGGATTGATACCCTGCCCTTCACTCAGAGTCTCAGAGCAGTTTACAATCTCCTTTCCCTTCTCCTCCCCACAACAGACACCCTGTGAAGTAGGTGGGGCTGAGAGAGCTCTCTCAAGGACTGCTCTTGAGAGAACACCTCAATGATGGACAGAAGAGGAGGAGGAGGAGATTGGATTGATACCCTGCCCTTCACTCAGAGTCTCAGAGCAGCTGACAATCTCCTTTCCCTTCTCCTCCCCACAACAGACACCCTGTGAGGTGGGTGGGGCTGAGAGAACTCTGACACAAACGGCTCTTTTTCAAGGACAGCTGTGCCAGAGCTTGTGACCCAAGGTCACATCAGCAGGTGCAAGTGGAGGAGTGGGGAATCAAACCCGGTTCTCCCAGGTTAGAGTCCGCACACTTAACCACGACACCAAACTGTGTAGCGCTGCTGGGGCCAGTCGTGTGGGCTTCTCTCCACCATTGCCCCCTAGACCTGCACAGCTACCAGCCCAGGCTGAGGCAAATCCCTGAGATGGCTGGCAGTGCCGCTGGCGCTTGTCTGAACAAGTACACACAACCCCCCCCCCCAAGCCTTGCTATTTTGTCTGCTGGCACACGCCTACATCTTCCAAAGCGGACGCGGAATTTCTTCTCAGCACTTGGACAAAGAGGCTGCCTACCCCTGAGCAAGCCCAACACTGTCTGTCAGCTTGATGCCAACAAATAGAGAGACGGCTCTTGCCACTTCGGTGTCACAGGAAGGAGAAACGGCTCCAGTCAAGGCGGTGTGAACGCCTGTGCCAAAACGAAGCGAAGTTCTACTCCGTGGGGCAAATGGAGCTTGTCTGCATTCATCCTTGACATAATCTATTCTGTCGTTGATAATAATCGGCAGAGGCTTGTGGAATGACCCCAGCCCTGTTCATCGTTTCTTCTCCAGTCACCGTGCATTCATTTGCAATTGTACCCACAGCACATTCAGAGGATGCGGGTCGACGGCAAGGTAACTCACCAATCCGGAAGTCAATATAACCTTCTCCTCCGCTCAGCACCAGGACATTTTTCAGCTTCTGCCCTTCTGTCTCAACGGGGGCCGTGCCGGGGTTCTCAGAAGGACTGTCCAACACGCTCCCGTTCAGCGTTGCAAGAACGTTACCTGAAAGAACGGAATGTCTAAAGCTGCCTTACGCCCTGGTTACCCTCCTAAGGAAACCACAGCTGGATCGGACTGGATGCTCAGCTGTACGAATGCCCTCAGGATGCCTTCAAAGAAAATGTGAAGAGACACACACACCCCTCCCCTGCATGCATAACTGGTATAAAAAGGCAAAGGTAAAGGTTCCCTTGCTCGAAAGCAGAGCTCTTTTTGTAGCAGGAACTCCTTTGCATATTAGGCCACACACCCCTAATGTAGCAAATCCTCCAAGAGCTTACAGAGCTCTTCTTACAGGAGCTACTGTTGGAGGATTGGCTACATTAGGGGTGTGTCGCTTAATATGCAAATGAGTACCTGCTACAAAAAGAGCCCTGCGGCGAAAACCAGTCGAGTCCGACTCTAGGGTTGCGGTGCTCATCTCCGTTTCCAAGCCGAAGAGCCAGCACTGTCCGAAGATGTTTCCGTGGTCATGTGGCCGGCATGACTAAACACCAAGGCACACGGAACGCTGTTCCCTTCCCACCGAAGTGGTCCCTATTTATCTACTTGCAATTTCTTGCTTTCGAACTGCTAGGTTGGCAGGAGCTGGAACTAGAGATGGGAGCTCACTCCATCATGCGGCACACTCGGGTGAATTACTGCTGAATTACTGCTGAATTAGAACTGCTGAATTAGTGACCTTCCACAGCCTGCAGTTCAGCGTCTTAACCACTTGAGCCACACTGCCATACGATAATTTATTATTACCAGTCCTGGTGGTGGGGGAAGAAGATCCAGGGCTCTCAGGTTTCAGTTCTCCACCGCAGTCTGAAAGGGGTGCGGCCCCTTGGCCCGCCGCATACCCCCCCCCCGCATTTGCGAGCCCTCCCTTAGAGAACGAAAAGGAGCAAAACAGACGTGGCCTTCCAGGCAAACACAAGCTAAGGAGGCTGGGAGAAAAGGAGCCCTTGGACAAAAGCGGAGCGGAGAGACACCACCCCCACCCCCCCGCGCCGCTTGCCAACCGTCAAGGGCGCCGCTTGCAACTCACCTGCCTGGAAGATGCTGGCGAAGAGGGCTAGAAGGAAGATCATGGTGATTCTCGGCCGCCCCGAGACCGAAGAAGGGCTGCGCCGGGGCAGGCGGCCGATCGGGAGCGCGCACGCCGGGGGGAGGGGGAGCAAGAGGGAGCTCACTCCGTCATGCGGCACATTCGGGTCTCGAGCTGCTGAACTACCGACCTTCCACAGCCTGCAGTTCAGCGTCTTAACCACTTGAGCCACCGCAGCTCCTATATAACTGGTATACTGCCTCTTTAATTATCAAGGCCAATAGCTACCGACATTCCTCCAATCCCCTTTCCAAACCTATTAAGCCTGCAGAATCCAGCACATCTCGTAGCTGAGAAATTCCACAAATCAGTGTTGTGCATGGAAGAAGTTCTTGCTTTTGCCCGTCCTGAATCTCCTGCTTTTGCTTCATTCATTCATTTTTATTACGGTCAGAGACCCATTAAACAGCATACAGAATCAAAAGCAAAAAGCATTACAGAGAAGAGACATCATAAGGAACATTGAGGAGGTGCTCACGCTTTGTAAATGCAATAAAGAGAAATTTGGCAACATTCCTTGATATTACAGTGGATTTGTCCTCCAATAGATGTTTCAGCAAAAGTTCCTCAGAGTGGATTAATAATGGTCCTTGGTGCCTAAATGACCTTATTATAGGTGTAATTAAAAGGGCTCTTTCTTCTGCATAATAGGAACAATGGAATAATATATGGAAAAGGGTCTCAATTGACTCGGAGGGGCATGAGCAAAAATCTCAAATGCCTAGGGATGCGTTGAAATCTTCCGGCAAGAACTGCCGATGGGAAAGTGAGGGCGATCTGGCTGCGACATCTGTCAACCCATTGATCGCCAGGGTTGATTCGGCTGATCTGGCTGGCTAGGCGGGTGTCCCCTACCTCCCTCACCGCTCCCTCCCGAAGCTGCGCGCTTGGTGGAAGAGGACGACCATCCCAGATAGAAGGAGTGTACCGTTCTTCGGTCAAGGGTATACTGCCTCCTCCTATACTGTGCAGCCCACCAGTTAAGACCTCCCTTAAAAGCCCCACTCTCTGTGCCCATATGCCCTGCAGAGGTGGGGCAGGTGGCACGCAAAGACCAGCCTTTTTTTTAAGCAGTGGCACCTCGCCTGTGGAATGCCAATACAACCCAATTACTATTCCTTCAACCACTGTCACGACCAGGAGCACACAATCGGGCAAACCGGGCAGGTAGCTCTTTGAATACACTGCGCTATAACCGCTGCCAAACACAGTGACTCAGTTTTCTGCATGTCCGAATAACCAAGGAATCTACTCATTTGGGGAATCAGAGCTGGCTCCAAGAAATGGGAGAATCAGCATATCTTATATCTGAAAATACCAAGACTAAGTCCTATGAGGAATGTTTAGCCTGGAGAGAAGACAACTGAGAGGTGATATGATGACCATCTTCAAGTACTTGAAGGGCTGTCATATAGAGGGTGGTGCGGAGTTATTTTCTGTTGCCCCAGAAGGTCGGACCAGAACCAACAGGTTGAAATTAAATCAGAAGAGTTCTTGGCTAAACGTTAGGAAGAACTTCCTGACAGTTAGAGCGGTTGTGGTTCCTCAGTGGAACAGGCTTCCTCGGGAGGGGGTGGGCTCTCCTACTTTGGAGGTTTTCAGACAGAGGCTAGATGGCCATCTGACAGAGATGCTGATTCTGTGAACTTAGGCAGAGAGGGAGGGCAGGAAGGGTTGCCTCAGTGCTTAGTTCTTGTGGCCCTTTCTTACACGCCCAGGGAAATGCTGATTGCCACTTTGGGGTCAGAGAGCAATTTTTGTCCAGGCCAATTTGGCCAGGGATTCTGAAGGTTTTTTTGTCATCTTCTGGGTGTGGAACAGCTGTCACTGTGGTGTTGAGGGGGAGATATTTGTGAATTTCCTGCATTATGCAGGGGGTTAAAAACATAAGAGAAGCCAATGTTGGATCAGGCCAATGGCCCATCTAGTCCAACACTCTGTCACACAGTGGCCAAAAATACCAGGTGCCAGCAGTGGGGCCAGGACACTAGAAGACCTCCCACTGTTGCCGCCCCCCCCACAAGCACCAAGAATACAGTGCATCACCTGCCCCAGCCTGTGAGTTCCTATCTATACCTTGTGGCTTATAGCCACTGATGGACCTCTGCTCCATATGTTTATCCAGTTCCCTCTTGAAGCTGTCCATGCTTGTAGCCGCCGCCACCTCCATGTGTTAATCACTCATTGGGTGAAGAAGTACTTCCTTTTATCTGTTCTAACCTGACTGCTCAGCAATTTCATGGAGTGCCCATGAGTTCTTGTATTGTGAGAAAGGGAGAAAAGTACTTCTTTCTCGACCTGCTCTATCCCATGCATAATCTTATAAACCTCGATCATGTCACCCCTCAGTCGTCATTTCTCCAAGCTAAAGAGCCCCAAGCGCTTTAACCTTTCTTCATAGGGAAAGTGTTCCAACCCTTTTATCATTCTAGTTGCCCTTTTCTGCACTTTTCCCAATGCTGTAATATCCTCTTTGAGGTGTGGTGACTAGAACTGTACACAGTACTCCAAATGAGGACGTACCATCGATTTATACAGGGGCATTATAATACTGGCTGATTTGTTTTCAATTCCCTTCCTAATAATCCCCAGCATAGCGTTGGCCTTTTTTATTGCAGTCACACACTGTCTTGACATTTTCATTGAGTTATCTACTACGACTCCAAGATCTCTCACTTGGTCAGTCTCTGCCAGTTCGGACCCCATCAACGTGTATTTATAGTTAGGATTTTTTGCTCCAATGTGCATCACTTTGCACTTG